TGCTTACAAAGAAGAGAAACGCTTTTCATGGAAATTCTTAGGGGGTGAACCGGCTGAGGTGCAAAAGGGTACGTCGGACGGTTGTCAAACTTCTGACAAGCGACCTGCCTGCGGAGCTTCGTTTATTTTAGGCGCGTTCGCTCTCGGCCGAGAATTCCTATAGGTATCGGCATTTTTCATTAGACATCACATCATAATATTATAAAATATGATAGCACACGCCAAGCGCCGCTCCTTTTACACAAATTGATTAGAATACATTATAATATAACCTTAACCCGTTCTTTGCTTACGTTATCACATATTCTTGGAATTTTTTTCCTAACCACTTGCATTGTACGATATACCTACATTGTATTTTCTTAACGTTTGCGTTCACTCAAACTAACGTTCAACGCTGTACTGAACGCTTACACACGGCTTAACCTAAAAAAAAAATTGACAAATTCCAAGTTTAAAAAAATATATAATATTTACTATTATTAGCAATCAAGTATAGACGTTTTCTTATGGATATTGGGCGTTCCGCGCCAGATCGGCTGCGGCCATCAGCCAACAGATCATGTCTCCTATTTTCTTCGAATTTCTGAAATATAGAAATCTCAGAAAATATTGACGTATACTTTCTGTTATATATATATATAATATATAAATAGGTTATGGGTTTTGTCTCATTCATCAAAACCAATACTAATATATATATATATATATAATATATGAATATGTCAAACTAGTTTACCATTATCATTTATTACATTATTGTCCGTTCCCTCATTACCATATCATCGGTCTCCTATTCCGCGGTTATCTGTAGGTATATTACATACACACCATACAACGCTAAACTACTCTGATATATTATGTTCTGTGTACATTAATATAAATGAAGTATAATCCCATTGTTTATTTTCCCAACAGGACTAGCTGATCTGTTTCGGTCCTTTATCCAACTAGATCTAGTAATTTTTTTAAAACGCTCATACAACGCACCTACCTATACCTTTTTACCGTACACACGCTTAAGAAAGTCTGACAAAAATAAAACCATAACAAAAAATAAATCAAGTCTCTCCTCCATTTTTGTTGTCGACTGCGGTTGTCCTATATGCACACACACATGGGTACAGTAAGATTTAAGAGTGGAGCCAATGCGGTTTTTTTTCTACTTTATACCTAACCGCCCGACACAATGGAAAGTGCGTTCGGTAAAATCAAAAGACCAAAAGATATAGTAATAATAAAACACATGGCTTTCGTGCGATGAAAACGATTCCGGTCGGACAGTTTGTTCTTTTCACTGTGCCATATTATTATTATTATGTGTAACTATTATAATACGGCGGCGACCCCACACGGTATCATGTTTTCTTGACCGGCTACTGTTTCGGTATCTAATGAACGTTATAGAGCTGTTTTCGCTCATTAATCAAAATAAATAAGTATAAATACGTAATATATTTTATTTTTTCAAAAACGTTTTCCCATTGACTGAACACCAGCACCACCACCGACGACTCTTTGACAGTATTAAACGTCTTTATGCGCTTTGTCAGATTAATTGTTCGGACACGGTTGTCAGGGTCCCACGTCGCTTCCTGGCTATAGTACTAACTCCGAACTCGGTGTATAGTCACAACACAACATATCCCGAAAACCAGTTAGTTCAGCAGTAAGCACCATCAGTAATCTAAGTGGATAAAAAATAACAACAATAATATAATATAAGTCCGTTTAAACTAAGGTGGTCAGTTTTTTTTGACGTTTGAGACCAAAAAGCCAGACAAAATGTCGACTACTTAGGATGGTCCGATTTTAATTCTATAAAGGCATACGAGTTCTTTGGCAACTTTATTAGGTTATGTAGGAAACAGATTTTTTGTTTTTTTTTATGTGAAAAAAATCGCGGTTTAATATTGAAAAAATTTCAAATTCATTTATTAAATTACAAAAAAACTGAAAAGCTGACATTTTTTAATGAAAATCGGCTTCTTACGTAACCTAGTAAAGTAGCCAAAGAACTTGAATCTACAGAATACAGAATTGAAATAGGATCTTCCTAAGTAGTCGAAATGTTGTCTGGCTTTTCCGTCTAAAATACACCAAAATGGCATTTACTCATAGAAAAAAATGTTTAAATTAAAAATAATACCTTGAAGCTTATATAAATTAACCGGTAAATTAGTTGACATGGTCGAAATTTATTAAAACATATTTTCTCTTAAATGTTGCCTATACGAAATTCCTTAAAAACACACCCGCATACAATTCCCTTAACCGAGAATAAATCAAACTTCACCTGTTGACTCGTAGTAGGAACTTCACAAGTAAGCAACAGCTAAGTTTACAAATTTAGTAGGGCAGGTACACCGTACAAAATAATAGCAATAACCTATACAACATTACAACCTAAGTCCTAACCTAACACAGGGAAGCAACAAGCTTAAACAATTGTGTTAATGTTTCCAATATGAGCAAATCGTTTTTGCGGTATTTAATGTTATATTGTACATTCGTAATTACTTATTTGATATTATTAAATAATATCTATTTTTTAAACAAAACAAAACCTAACTTTATGTGTATATACATTTATAAAATATATATATAAAAAAAAACCCAGAGTGAAAAATGAAAAAAGAGGGTATTAACCGACCTCCTGGGGTTTTCGATATTCGTTATGTGCCCTGTCCCTGGCACTAGCTGTCTCCGTCGACTGACTTAAGACGCGGCAGTTCCTTGACTACGTTTGATCATTAATCAAAATATTTCACCCCAACCGAAGGTATCCCCCGAAAACCCCTGAATAGTACCTAATATTCTCCCTCGTGGCCTCTTTCTTTTTTTCCCCCTCCGACTCTCCTTAAAATCTTACCCAACCACAATACTGTTATTCGCATTAGAGTATATATGTATATATAGAATAAATGAAAACAATTCACTCGTTAGAACATATTTTAGATTATGACTATGTTTTAAATAGACAAATAATTACAATTATTAAATAAATTAATTCTGTTTAAATCGTTCTAACTAATATTTAGTTACAGTAAGTATATTAAAGTTTAAATATATACTCTACTGAGTTATTTATGATAATATTAACTCTCAATACCAGTTGCTCAAATTGTTAATGTCTTACATAATATATTGTTTCCCATTTACAATTATTCTGTTTATTATCGTTGCATGAATTTAAAAAAATACTTATAATAGATTTTACTTAAAAATATGGTATATATTTAAATACAAATATTGCACATTTGTTAGTACTTAGTAAAATAGGTACAGTTGTGACAGTGAGTAGTCCCAATAAAACTATTCGTAGTCATGCTCAAGTGTTATTATTTATACTCTTAAGTTTTATACAACGAGATTAACAGTTATTTTATATTGTAAATATTTATATTAAAAATGTTTTTAAAAAAATACGGCGGGCTTGCTTTTGCTGTTATGACTTATGACTCATCAGTAGGTAAATTATTGCAAATGTTTTGTTTTTATAAATATATATATATATATATAATATAAAAAAATATATATTGTTGTACTTGTGTATTAAAAAACATTACCGAACCCAAACAAATCTAAATACAACGACGAGATAAAATAATAATATAATCTTCATGGCACCCAATTATGTGCGGTATCCTTTAAAATGGCGACTGGGAGTAATAAGGCGGCAAGCGTCGTATAAAAAAAATGTACAAAAAAATAACGATCCCCGAGAAATTGGTCTCAAAACAATTCATTAATCTTAACCGGGATAACGTCCCTCCCGTCGAGTTGGCAGTCAATTTAAAGAGAGCGCCCTATTCTAGTATCGGCAGTGATATAATACTTTTAAATTGGCCATGTTTGTCGGACTTGGCCCAAAAGAACATTGACAATATTCATTTTAAACACCATGTGTGTTTGAGACCGAAGAGGGGCGATCGCTTGTACGTTATAAGTCTTATAGAAATATATTGATGAATGGTTTTTTTTTTGTCATTTAAAATCGGCGAAAATTATAAAAAGCAATCGTTTTAAAACGAAATCTGATACCTATAGAGTAGTAGAGCATTCGATGTACTACTGTTGTGGATTCACACAATATTATGTGTAAAACTAACAGCTAACAAAATAAAATTTATCGCCCAAATACAAAAACGGAGATCGATAAAGTTATGAACCAAATTATTTGTATGCATTCGAACTTCGAAGTTCAATGAGAAATGTTTCATGTTTTAATTCTGTAGGACAATAACGGCTTCTGTAATACTGTCGAATAACTGAAAAAGAAAAAATTAAACACTTAGGCCAACTACTGAAAAGCTTCTAAGCTAATGTTTGTAAAGATAAAACTTCTAGGCTTAGAATATTATTTCCTCGAGCCTAAATTATAATTTATAAGAAAATAGATTTCTTCTAAATTAAAGAAACAAAATACACCTTTCGTTGTAGTTCTTCATTCTTAAAATGTTTCGTTGGGCATCCAGTATAACTTAATTGTGACTAAGTAATACACAATGTATTTTTGATTGATTATTATTGTTATGTAATGTAATTATCTCCTAAGCATGATTACAAATAAAATGGTTTGGTGATTTTCTTCTTTTATTATTTTGATAATATTTTGTTCAGCCACCAGTAGATTTATGTACAGTAGCCAGCTAGTTGTCAAGAGTGGAAATAAGTAAGTGGCAAGTTTGTATGATAACAGTTTTTTTTTTAACAATAATTCATATAATTCAATAGTTGTTATTTATACTGGAGCGGCAAATAAAGCAAATGGCAAGAAGACTTTAATCCTCTTTCGAATTTAATTAACAGTTTTGCTTGTTGCTATTTTCATTTAATATATATAAATTAATAAATACTTCTCAAGTCATAACTGTGATTTTTTTTATAAGGGACATTCTTCTAGATTTCTATTATAATATGTAGGTCAATGCAGATGTAAAATAAATTAGCGACTAATAAAAAAAATCTATAAAATAAATGTAAAAAAATACAACTAATTAATAACAGGATACTTATGAGTGTTTATTAAAGCTTAAAATATATATATATATTTATTTATTTATTTTAAAAAAATAATCATTAAGTTTACTGTTATAATTTTTAACTTTAATGTTTCCTTCGATATGAACAGCCTGTAAAAAACAAAAAAATGTATTATATATGTTAATTAATATACACATTTACATAAAAATGCTTAAATATATATGTGCTTGACAAACAAAATAAACCAAAATTTATATAGTTAACAAAATACAAGCAATTTTAGTTTTAACTGAATTTCATACATTAAATTTTAAAAAAATGTTATCAATAATATTGACATTGTAGATGCAAATATTATAACTCACATTAATAAAATTATACGAGCCAAAAAATGTTTAATAATACTAAATAATTGTTGTGCCACGTTTTGCAACAATCAATATATTAAAATCTATAATTAAGTTTTCTCAACTTTAATTACCAATTAAATTACATAATTGTTTTCAATGGTGTGGTATAAAAAAATTGTATTAATATATTTTCTACTAAAAAAAAAAAATGATTGTCCTGATAAGTTCATAAATGTGTTCAATAATTAATAATTAACATAATTTACTAAAAGTCTACTTCATTCGCTTTATAATGTGGTTCATCACTGACCAAGTAAAATATTTTAGGTTAGGATGGACAAAATAGGATTACAAGGAACAGGGAATTCAAAAAATTTGTTTTAATAATCAACAAATATGGGATACCGATTTTGCTGAAAATACCGTAAGAATAAAATGTGTAATACTAATAAATTAAATTACATAATACATAGAACATATAGCAACTTACCATCTGATAGTTTTCCTTTCCCTCCAGTTGGCCTACACAATACAATCAAGCAGCCATCACATCTCACTTTATCTTGGACATGACTAAATACAGTTTTAATTTTATAACATCCTAAAATAATAAAATAAACATAAATATATACAACATGTTTTAATTATAAGTGGATATTAAACCTGGGCATTTGATATCCATAAAGTATGAGTTGGGACGAGGTACCAATCTCTTTAATTTATGACTGCGTAAATCATCCTTTGCAGTCGGGTGAAGCAAACTTTTAGCCAACTAGTTTAACACATATTGTTTGTTAATAGAAAAAATAAATCAAATAGAGTAATTATAAATGTAGCATACCTACTTAAAACAAACAACATACATAAATTAGTATTGTATTAGGTGTTACAATAAATATTGTATTAATACTCAAATATATGGTAATTCAATATTTAACTAAATTAAGCATATTATAGAAAGCTTAAAGATCCAGTTATTTTTACTTTTTTACCCTCAAGATATACATATTCTAACATACTCGAATAAACTATTGTTTATACTATTTATCAATTTATGTATGTTTATTCTTTTTACAAACAAATAAATGTATAGAAAATTATTCAGTAGAATACTTACAGGCATAATGATAACTAACTAAATAATATTTTTATTTTATTAATTCTTGTAAATTATGTATTAAAATAAAACAAATATGTAATAGTTTATATTAGTTGCTTAATAAGAAACAAAATTTGTTTATATCCGAGGTCGGTGGTTACTGATTTCAGCCAACGACAATTATTTTACAGTATAGTTTAGCACTGGCATCATCCACTACCCACGTTTTGGAATTTTGATAACTCGCTATCATAATGGTACGGTATGGTATGCTATCAGTACATACCTGTTACCACCCACTACTTCTAAAAATTTAATTTTAAAAGAACATTTTATGTGTTTATAATAAAACTGTTCAATAGAAATTAATTAACTTCCTTAAAAACGACGTTTTGTAATTAAATTTTTTTATTTTAATTTACGACAAAAAGATTTAAAAACAACAGAAATATCAATATGAGATGTGAGAGTTAAGAGAGAGTTTTTGCGTTTGACGGATGGCCACCTTGCGCTGCTCCCCACTCTTGCCGCTTTAAACTTAACCTCACATAGTTTGAACGACATACATAGTTTGTTTACATATTTCCCCAGAACAGTCCCATTCTTTCCTTTTTATTCCTGCGTAGAGTGACGTTTAGGATTCAAGATGGGTAAGTCAATTTTCATCCGTTTACATCTAAAGAACTAACGTTTCGATTGTCAAATTGTTTAATGTTTCTAACATTTATTAAGTTGACAAATCATGATTTTCCTATAAAAGGCACAAGTCGACTAAAAATCTTTCAATTATGAGTGTCGGGTGTATCGTGTTCTCAAGTCACAATTTTAATGCATTTTAGGTATATCCCGCGATTCGTGGCATAAGCGTAGGAAGACTGGAGGAAAACGTAAACCTCTCCATAAGAAGAGGAAGTATGAATTAGGTCGTCCTGCTGCAAACACAAAGGTATGACTTCAATGATAATAACCAATTTTATAGCGATCCTAGTCTTCCCCTAACAATTTTGTAGCTAGGTGTGCGTGTTTAAGAGTTAATATAGCCACAAAAAATGCTTGGAGGGCGACTATGTAAGAACTTAACTTTATAAAACATATTTGCTAAAAAACTATTTTTGTATTTTCTTTTCGTTCTTAATATTTTTATATAATAGGATTTTGTAGGTATCGTTTTATTAGCAATTATCTTTTAAATTTGTCTAAATAATAGAATGGTAACAAAATTTGAGAGCTGGGAAACAAAACTTGTATTATTCGTGTTGAATATAAGTATTTTTGTATATTATTATATAATATACCAATCTGGTTCTTGATTTATAAATTATGAAAGATCATCTTGGTAGTTTGTTTCCACAATAAACTATTATGTTAATTAATAAAAACATAATATTGGTTAATACCTACTCTTTAAATGCATTATTTTAAATTATAATACCTTTATCAAAAACATTATGATGAGACGTATGTCTGAATATTACATGACGACATTCATTTTTTTTCACCTCTAACGTCCTGAATGTTTATTAAATTAATAATATTCATATACTTCAAATATTTTGAATATCTTTAATGATGCATACAGTAAAAATCTTTGAAGTTCAAATTATTTTACTTCGAGTCTTACTTTCGAAAAGAAATATAGGTATTATTTATATATGAGCGTGTGCTTTTATCACTTTAAATTCTTGAGATCAACGATAATATGATGAGACAAATATCCGAGTTCATGTGACGATATTCTTATTTTTCACCTCTAACGTCCTGATATGTTTGGTATTTCACATTTTGTTGTAAAATTTATTCAATTTCTTAATTTAAATCTCCAAGTTGCTGTGTGCCAGAAATTCAAATTTGTGGCATGTTCTGGTACAAGTCTGTATAGACCATGGTTTGTTAGTAAGCTCTACCTAGTTGAAAAACTTGTTCAATAGTCTATTGTTGCTGAAGATTAAAAAATATCAGGTTATCCACCATTATGAGTGACTTGAGTACTTAGTATTGCACTTATGATGAGACCAAAGTCTGAATATTATATGACGATATTTATTTTTTTTCACCTCTAACGTCCTGATGTGCATTAACCTATAAAGTATACGATAATCAATTGTATCAGCCTGAATATATTGTATGGATATTTATATTTTCAACTCTATTTAATAATTTAAAACTTGTCTATTAATGATGAATATTGTTAGTCTGACCTAAAATAATGATTATTACAATCTATCCGCTTATTAATATCCTGAAATAGACTTAAGGATAGATATAATGTATACAATATTTATAAATTAGGCATTATACTTTTTATAGTATATAATTTGTAGGAAATCATATTAGTTTTAATAAATAGATAAACAAAATTTCATAATTTTTTATTTCTATTAGTTTAATAAATAGAGTATTTTTTTCTTAATTTATATAATAATTAAATGAATGATGGTTAATTGGTCATATTTATGGCCTCAAATAACACCAATATTGAGCAATAACACCCTAGACCTGACAAAAAAAACATTTCGGTTCACTGCCCTTCTTTAAATTACATTTTTGGATAACTAGAACATTGCACTATATTCAGTTAAAAAAAAAGAATTATATATATATTTAGAATAATGATGATCAACCATTTTTGTTATGAAGTAGATGATTTAATCATTTATCCGCTTATTAATATGCTGAATTCATACTTTTAATAATAAAAGAAACAGACAATTTAATTATTATTATTATCATACTTATATACCTTCTTTTTATTAATAAAAAACAAATTTAGCTTGGCGCTCGACGTGTGCACATTGTTCGTACGCGAGGTGGAAACAAGAAGTACAGAGCTTTAAGATTAGATCAAGGAAACTTTTCATGGGGTTCTGAAGGTATTGTAATGCAAATTTATTTTACATTACTAATGTTTTTTCTGGATAATTTGACCATTTTTTTTTTCTATACCAGGTATTTCAGCTAAATCTCGTATCATCGATGTTATTTACAACGCCTCCAACAATGAATTGGTCAGGACGAAAACATTGGTCAAAAATGCAATTGTAGTGATTGATGCAACCCCATTCCGTCAATGGTATGAAGGTCACTATGCTTTGCCAATTGGACGTAGGAAGACAACAAAATTGGTATGTATACTACTTTATAATTGAAACCACGTCACAAAATTGTGGTATTTTGATATTTATATATAATATGTTATATGTCAATCGTTAGAGAACTACGTTATTAGCCCTCTAAAAAAATATTTTATATAATAAGGAAAATCTTTTGCTCTATGATGAACCTCCATTCTTGATAGGAATTGCCGTCTGATAACTTGATGACTATGTACTGATCTGAGAGCAAAAAAACTGATATTGATAACTGCTTAATTTAAACAAGTATCATTGATTTAATGATGAGTGAAATTTCGGTTCCTGATATTATTTTATGAGGATCAATATATTCCGCAGCGCTCTGAAGTCATAAATGTTAAAAAAAAAAATTGGCTTATACTTCTAAGTTAAAAACAATTTGTATCTTAATGATCTATATTATGAACATTTTCAGTGAAGCTATTACTTTTTTAATCTAAAAAAAATATGAATTTAAAAAGTGAATTATTTAATAACATAATGATGAGTGAAATTTCGGTTCCTGATAGTTTCTATGAGGATTAATTTATTCCGCAGCGCTCTGAAGTTATAAATTATGTTTTTTTTTATATTAAAATAAAATTGTAACTTTTAACAAACCTGGGCAACATTAAAATTAGTTAAAAAAATAAAACCAAATAACTTTTTATTTGGTTTAACAGTTTATATTAACCTGTTATTTGAAACAATCAAATACAAATGTATTATTTATAATAAGCTAAATGTTTGTTATTTAAATAAACAAAGACCAAGTTTGCCTATTAAGTAGTAAATGATAATAAATAAAATAGGGACATGGTGTAGCAAAGTGGAATCGGTTGTCACTTGGCACCCGAGCTTAAGCTGTGTCCATCTGACATGACATGACCATCTTTAGTGACTGCTCAATGCTCATTTCATGTCCCTATCGTATATGTTAACACCAACACAACTCAACCAACCAAAACGCTAATGGCCTATGTTGTTGGAGCTCTGAAATAAAAGTAAAATCTAATAGCTTCTTTTTTACTAATAAATAAAATATTTATATATCTACACAATAATTTCACTTCAGCAATATTTTTAAATAAAGCATTATTCTGTTTGAATACTAATATAATTGAAGAACCTAATATTATGATGAGTGAAATTTCGGTTCCTGATAGTTTTTATGAGGATTAATCTATTCCGCAGCGCTCTGAAGTTGGTCATTATGCTGTATTTATTTAGAATATATTTATAATTTAATCTTCAGTTATCATCGATTAGTTGTGCTGTGATGAACCTTTCTTGTCTTGATAGGAATTGCCGTCTGATATTTCTGACGATTATGAAACCGTCTGAGTACTAACGTCCTATTTATTGTAATAATGTTAAACATGTGTAGGTACTTATTATTTTATAAAAAAAAAAAAAATTGGTACCCAAATTTAATTACAAGTGCTGAGTGATATTTTAGTTTAAATGTATATCACCTGCTCTCTGATGTTCTAATTAAAAATAATACTAATATATTTACATGTCTTGCAGTTTCTCCCACTTGAATAGATAGACCAAGCTAACGTTTTTTAATACTTGTACATTCCATCTACAGGGCTGTGGTTCGATACTTCTCATTCCTTAGTAAGTGGGAGCAACCATAAGATGTGTAAATAGTGTAAAAACGATACCCCCCCCCCCAAGCTTCAGTAATTGTTTGATAATATTAATATTATTTTTCATCGATATTGACAAAGCGCCGTTCAATTACTGAGAACTATTCGAGTGTTACTTCTTGTATACTAAAGTATTATTGTTATTATTATTAAACAACAACAAAATTGTTTTTAAATTCATAGACCGAAGCTGAAGACAAAGTTTTAAACAAGAAACGGTCAAGGAAAGCTGAACTCAAGTACAAGAAGAGGCAACGTTTTGCTAAAGTTGACCAACCAATTGAAGAACAGTTCCAGACGTCTCGTTTGCTTGGTAAGTCTTTAAGAAGATGTTCTCAAAGTAGCAATGCATTTTTCCTTTAAAATACAAAATGTATACACAATTTTTTTTAAGCGCTATGATGATTTTACATAGTTTTTGTGATGTTGACTTGTTGGCATTAATTGTTTTTATTAATGCCTTTCAATTGAATGAGCATTTTTGTCATAGTTACACTGAGCGTTCTTTTTTTTTGTATAGATAACTTTTACCATATGTAAATATAGTAAAGTAGTGATGACAATTCATTAAGTTAAAAGGCTGAATAATAACATCAGTCTTATGATTTTTTTTCATAGTTACCCTGAACACAACCGATGTTAATATATTGCATTATTTTGAGTTTAACTAACATTTTATATTGAGCAATATTATGATGTTTAAGTAATCTCGTTAAGATGATAATTTTGTGAAATAAAACAATATATAAAATCTGAATATTGCTCAGTTTTATTTTAATAATGCCATTTATTTTATGTTATTTTATTTTAAATATTTGCTGATGTCTTTTTTTCTTTTTTTTTAGCTTGCTTAGCTAGCAGACCTGGTCAATGTGGACGAGCAGACGGTTACATCTTGGAAGGAAAAGAGCTGGAATTCTACCATAGGAAAATAAAGGCCAAGAAAGGCAAATAAATCCATGTTATTTTAATCAATGTCATGTTAACATTGTTCTTTTGACATTATTAAATAACAAATGTTTTTTTGAGATAACTAGTGTTCTTATACAAATTATACTGTAGTTGACCTTAATTAAGAAGTGGTGGCACGTGTTGCCAAAATTATGGTGTCCAGATAGGCGATGCTAATGGATCAGTTATTACTCCAGCGATAAGACTGACTTTGGTGTGTAAATCCAGCACAAAGTACACGAAAGGCCTGGACACCACAAAATTATGTTGCACATACTTGCGTTGAATTTCATAAACTAAAACATAAAATAAACATTGCTGTGTGTTAGTAATGAATATAATAACAAAAATATATTTTATATTGGTTAGTTTTAAACAAATTGTATCTTCCCAAGATACGCCCATTGCAATATCTCTTAAACTTAAAAAGTTTTGAAATCCGTTGTTTTGAAATAATACATTAATTTATAGACTATAAATTTGAAATTAATAAGTACAACTTGAGAAAAAAACTGTTAAGCAAACTTATGGTTAAATATATAGTAAAGATATAAAATCTTTCTTAAGTACAACTTTATTTTAACATCAATAACCATTTGAATAATAACCTTTGCAATTTATTGTGATTTATTTTTCATTATTCCAAAATGATAAATTTATATTCTAAATAAAATGTATTAGAAAAAACCTCATTTTGTCCAAGCAAATTTAAGTTTACTCTGAACCTAACCTTACAGGCGAATAAAACCACAAATAGTATAAACTAATGGCTGAATTATTATGTTTCCTTAAGTCCCCTGAACGGAAACATTTGAGGTGCTTCTGTCCTTAGATTTAACAGTTCTGAGTATTGCTTATGTAAATTTTTAATTTTTTTTAATACGTTAAGACCTCAGTTCTCTAGAAACGTATTGAATTGCGCAAAAAAAACTATAGTTTTATAAAAGACAACTTGAAAACGAATAATTAATACTTGCCAAAAATAATTTTTCTTGACCATACCTCCCTCAACCCTTGTACAATTTCAAAAATATAGGTGTTTAAAAGTTCTTAACTCGTCCACAGTCAATTAATTTAATATATTATTTTATTTCCAAGGCCAATACACGTCTAGGTTTTTTTAAAATTTCAAAACCGGACGAAAAAGACTTATATTGCGTTTAGAATATTTATACATTTCGCATTATTAAAACACCGTTGTCCGTTCGAATCTAATTTGAATACTAATTACTAATTGAATGCGTTTCCTAAATTATTGCTAAATACTTAACGAACACGATAATATGTATTTAATTCTGCCTAAAATGCAGTTTATAAGGTTGGGTGGTTTTTTTATTTAACTAATCGATTAACGTTTTAAAAATTAGTCTCGGTATTAAACGCTTCCTATAATATCCCTACACTTTGTTGAAACACTAAGCAAATCGAGTATACATATTATTTTTGTGCCGAATGAAGAAAAAACACATAATAAGATTTTTAAACGGAAGTAAATCGGCCTTAGACAATCGATTACCTTATTAGATATGATATAATAACTCGTCTGATAATAATTTTAAAAATATACAGCCTCAAAAACGAAAAAAATTATTATATTTCGTCTCTTAAAACATTACATAATAATAATGCATAACACACATATTATTATAAAAATGGCAATTTTCTGCTGTTGTACGACGCTAACTATTAAATCTACATAATTATTATGTAATGGGTCAAAACTAATATTGTATTGTTTAGTTTATTAGGTAGTAAAAGTACATTAGGTACTCGGAGAAGCAAAATGTTTTTTCCTAATGTTTCCTTCATCAAAGCTGTTTCGTCAGATGGTAAAAAAATCCTATTATAGTTGTTACATATTATAATAAGTATGGCGTGTTCTGCGTTTATAACATATTATCATCTAACCTCTTGTTTGGTGTACCTATCTACTCGATAATTCTTTTTATTAATAGATCAGAATGTTATGAGCCTAATTGAGACGTTTATGGGTCTCAAAATTATGCAATATTTTAGAGTTGGCGGAAAATTAAACATCATGCAATCTAACTTAGTTTTGAAGTTCATGGATGACGGTGTCATAACAAAAATGTTTCAAAAGTCGAATCAAAATAATTTCTGATTATTATGTAATTATTATACTGTACAACTAAACATGACTTTTTTTGTAAAAGAAGCAAAATATATATTTTAGAAAATATTTTTTTTCGATTCTCCTCCAAAGTTGTATACATATCAAAATTTTCTAATTATATGTATGAAAAAATATAATTTTTTTTTATTAATTCTGAGACCAGTTTTTCAAATCAAATCAAATAAAAAACTATATGAAGTAAATTTTAGAAAATTATTTTAACGTACAGAAAATACTGACAATAGTAAATATAAAACAATACTTAAATACAAAATTCAAAACGGTATTTTTTTTACAACATTGGAGGTGGTTTAAAAAAAAGACCTAGCTATTAAAGAAAATAGCGAATAGAATAGCGTGTCAAAGAAAATCAGATTTGGATTCAGCAAAACATTTTTTTTTTTCAATTATTGATGTATTTTCTATTTTGGTTCCAAAATGATGGTTCGTGTTTTACTATGATTACTTAACATACAATTTTTGTATATAGCTGTAATATCATTGCTTATAAGAGTTAATTAATAATAATAACTAACCAACAGCTGACTCGGTACCCAACTGGAATATCTATGTATATTGTATATTATTATCTCAATAAACCCGGTTTGGCTATACCTGTAATAATATTATGTGAGTAAAGGTAACAATACTATTAAGTACCTAGGTATAACTACTTATTAACCTATATGTTCCGTTTGAAAAGTCAGTTTAAATAGTAACTATGAATTATTAATAAAACCGTACCTGCACTAAAATAATAGACATTTGAGGTGGCTATCAAATGACAAATTGCGCCGTTCGTATGCCACTATTTGCGTAACGCTAAATAATAATATTGATGTAATCATTTTTAAATATTGGATTTCTCCAAGTAAGAAAAAACGCCAATATATTGCCCAAATCTCCACCGGGCCGTTGCGTGTCGCCAAGTATGTATAATTGCAATACACACACGTATGACATTAGGTATATGTTATTATTGAATTATATGTATGTACATTTATGTAGGTATAGAATATATCTTAAGAGTATGAGGACAGTGTATACTACGTTTCGGTTTGCCGGTCAACCGCGAAACGCACAATATTCTCGAGGCGGTTTTTATAATATTCATATTTATAATAAATATAAAAAAAAAACTATTATTTATATGAATATAATATTATAATATTAATAACGTGACATTCCTCTCCCCCTCCCCGTGAAAAATATTTCTTATTTTTTTATACCTTAGTCGTTTTGCGCAGAAAAACAATACTAATGCCACTAAATGAAATTGTGTCGAGAAAAACCCAATAATGAGGTTATCACCAAATTCGTATACATAGACATATATACGCGTGTATACCTGTGTGTACCTATGTCTTATGCACTCGAAGGACAGGTCAAATAGCCGTGAAGAGTTTTTCCGGCGATTATACGCGGACATACCCGTGGACTTAGGAGCGCGGACGACGGTCTTATACAGCGTAGGATAATGTAAAATTTTTCATGGTCGCCATCGCGCCCATATAATGTGATAATATTATATACTAGGTATAATATAGCGGGGCCGCAATCGATGTCGAAAACCATTAATAAAACCAAAAAAAAAAAATGTGCATGGAAAATCCTATTGTTTGCTTGCTCACCCGACTGAGTGCTGTACTTTTTTGCCGTGACCGACACCACCTGTTGTACTGAGCTGACGAACAACCGAGCGTCCGGCGACATGAACGACATATCGGCTCTGTATCTGTAAAAGACGTCCTGGATGCCAATCTGCAATAATGGGAAAAACAAATTACTAAGATAATATTATTTTTAAGACAATATCGTGTGACAGAGCGCAGCTAGTGGAGGGAGGGTGTGAGCACAAGAGGGAAAACGCTCTAAACGACAACATTTCAGGGCGGAAAATGTTGGCTTTTTTTTTTTAATTAAATAAAACAATTAGATTACAGGTTGTAAAAGTATTGAATCCACGTTTGTCAAAATTTGAGTTAGTGGCCAAAAAAAAAACAATAAAAGAGACCATACAGATGATTATAGTGACGGGTGACCATAAAGATTACAGTGACAATAATTGTTTTACATAAGTTATGTATTACTAGAAAGAAAAAACTTTTAAAAGAACGATACAGTAAAAACAAAATTAGTCCATAACATGTTACAGGTATAACATATTGTATCAAGTCTATTCGGTGCTGAAAAAGTCTCTTGAATATTTTTTATTATACTTTAATGACTACTTATTTTAAATTGCGATAACTCAAATCAACATTTCCCAATTTTTTTTTTATCCGTTTTGCATTTAGTCAGGTTTTACCTGATCTTTTGAATTTATAAGATATCCATAAGTAAATAACCATACAGGCTACAATAAGTTTTATATTTTTGGCATTTGCTCGCCAAGTCGCTTTGGAGCACATATTTTAAAGTATATTCGGCAGTCGGCACTATTTGAATCGTTTATTTATAGAAGTTGATAAGTTACAATTTTGTCGAGAATGACCTTCTTTAATAAACATGTTCTGTGGCTACGGATAGGTCAAATTCGTACGATGATTCATTGTTTAATGGAAATTCAAACATTTAGTTAAATTGTGAAGTCAGAAAAAAAGTTCCTATTAATGATTTATACATTTTAAGTCATAATAAAATATATTGGTAAAGTAGTTTTGGTTTACATCACTCTATTGCACACAATCTCGTTTAAAAAAAGGGTCAATTAGCCAAACTGCATTTTTGCAAAGTTAAGAGCAAGCTAGATAATTTTCAGATAATTTTGCTAAAGTGTATCCTGACTCCTGAGTACGCTAAATGTTAATAGTGTACGTGTGTGTTATAATATTATATAACAACTCAGGCGAGAGCCTATGAAAATTATAATGTGTACCTACTATGTAGAAGCGACAACAATAATATTTATACAAATGTAGTAATAATTGCGTGAGCGGGTCTTTGACTCGGATCTCGATAGAAGTGTGCGCCCTTGAACCAACCTATTCGGTCGTCTTCTTCTTACACGTATCCATTTAATGGTAAATTGCACGGTCGGCTCGTTCGGATAATGTATGGCCGGCAATTATTGTTAATATTGTTGTATATCATTGCTTACCGACTTAGAAACGCTGTGTATACCTATCTGTATATTATATATATGTATATTTATAATATACACACCTATTATAGGCTATAGCCTATACGGTCAATCACCTGTTGTAAAGCTGCAGTCAAGTCGACTTTGGCCGTATACTTAAACATGGGTACCGTCGCGTGCACTGCAGCCGGTTTCAAGGAATTGTGAATGTTGCGCAGGGACAACGTTGGCAACAGTAAAAGCAACTCTGACAGCCCGCCGGGATGATTTGGCATGAGTATCATCAGCGTGTACCTGGGATCCTATAAAAGTCAAGAAAAAAAAATGGTTTTCAAGCAGTAAAACAACATAAACAGCGAAAAAATTGATTATTTTTCTAGAGATTTAATTTTTTGAAAATGTTAAAAAGTTGTTAAAATATGGTCACGTTGTCATTTTATTTACTAATGTTTTGCTAAAATTGTATGGAAAAAATTTTACGCGACAATAGTTTAATAAAATCTTAACAAATTATTTGTTACAAATAACAATACTTAATACAAAATAAAACATTTTTGAAACATTAAAATCCTTAGACCAAATTAACTCTTTTCTCAACTCAAATCTTCGCAATTACATCATCAATAGAAATGTACATGTATTATCTAAAATATTATATTATGCCAAAGTTTTTTCAACCCACCTCCTCTTTTCTTCATTTTCAATTTATAAATCCACATTTGTATGTTTTCGCAGGAATTATCATGAAACGGTTTATTGTTAGCTTACATAATTATTTTACCAATAAATTTGATAAAATCACATTTTTTATTACAGAAAAAAACATTATAAATAAATAAACCACCCCCTCAACCATAGAAGTATATCCAAATTCCAACGTGTGAAGTGTGAACGTTGAATTTTAGAACAACCTTTAAATTTACAATACATTTTGTAGTACTAGCTTAGTTTTACGAATAACAGTAAAACAAAACATACTTAAAATAGAACATGCACGCGTTTTGTATAGATGTTGCGTCATTGACTTTTTTTTATTAAATTATGTAAAAATATTATATTTTCCCACAGTTATATATCTATAAAACAGACAAAACACAATACTTAATATCATTGCAATATTATTCGCTTTTTTTTAACTGATGAAGCTGGTCGATGGGTTAATAAATAATAATTAAATATAAAAAAGTAAATTACAACTTTATTTCTACACCTAAGGCCTTTATAGTGTATGTATATATTTTTTTGTTACGTCAAATAATTATAATATTTTTTTTAATTAAAAGGTTACTGGTTCCAACCGTTAAATTTTGTTAATGTCGGCAATTAGAGCGGCAAAATACCTGATGTACATTTTTATTAAAAATAGCCAGCTGGCCTTAGAAACATTTAGGAAAATATATAACTTACCTAATCCAACTTATAATATTATTTAATCAGTATGGCAGTTCATAAAAAAACATACCAATAAACGCGGAAGAAGTCATTTATTGAAGAACTTTTATCAGTGCTCAAAAGTTATTATAAAAAAGTTAAGGGTTTGTTGGTTGGTTAACTTTCGACATGTTACATGTATACTTTTTTCCCCTATACACGCTAGAAAGGCATTTAAAAATTAAAAATATAATTCAATGCTAAATTGTTGTAAATATAACAGCCTTATCGGTTTCATAATATTATATAATATTATTAATAATAAATAATTATCATAATTTTTGTAATATACTCGTATAATTGTGCGTTGGGTTTTGATTAAACAAAAGTAAAAACTTATAATTATTGTAAAAAAAAATGAGTAATGTCAAAATGTAATTGGAGGGTGGGCGAGGAAAGGTATTATGTTCTGGAACACCACCCCTCCGTCGTCTCTGACTATTGATCCTCCCTTTCGTAAATCATGTCTACGCTATTGTGACTATGTACTATACTTATAATCCCCTTAAAATACCATACGAATTTCATATTTTGTTTGATGCCATAATGTATACTTACGTCTAAGGGAAGTTCGATAACTTGGGACTTAAGTTCGAAGATAAATCCGAACGGCAGCATAGCTGTGAATGTGAAGAATGGAATTTTTTGAAAACCCGCATTGTACAAATTGGATGATTCAAAGGGATTGGGTTGAATCCAACCAGGTGATGGTACATAAGACTTAAATCCACTATACCATTGATTTTGTCTTCCGTTATATCCTTGAACTGCTTATTTTCAGAAACAAAAATTATTTTTAAAAAATTGGTTATTTTTTATTTTATAATAATAATTTATGCCATATTTACATTGGCCCAAGTATCTTCTTTTGCGTTTCTTCGGTTCTCTTAGTGCAATTGTTATAGCCGGATTTTTTGGTCGTTGCATCAGTATTCTGTCGGGTTTTATTAGGGTCCTTTTTCTCGTACTATTACAGTCGGCTCTTAGATCATCTTTTTTGACGACAAATTCTACATCAAACGATGGCAAGTTGTCATATCCTTCTATCGATCTACCGCCATTGCGGTCAAATGGTGCAATTCGGTAATTTTGATTGGATTCAGCTTCCGATATTATTTCGTTTTCGGTAGTGTTGCTTCCATTGCTTCCAGACAGACTCTGCAACGGAGACACCGAAGACTCCATCACAGTAGTTCCATCGCTATCGAAAGTAGTCTTCGTAGATGTGATAATTTCTTCAGTACTGCCAACTCCGAACTCCTGGGTTAAATTTTTAGACGTCTCGTTTTGGACTTGGACCAAATTAATTTCCTCTATAATAATTGGCGTAGTCGCTTCCACAAAGCTTGTAATTCGATTGTCGATCTCAACAATTTTGTTACTAACTACTGCTTCAGTCACACTCTCAGTAATAACAGTATTAATAGGGGTAGTCTCAGTAGTAACAGTATTAATAGGGGTAGTCTCAGTAGTAACAGTATTAATAGAGGTAGTCTCAGTAATAACAGTACTAATAGGGATAGTAGTAGTAATAGTAGGGATAGAAGTAATAGTACTAGGGGTAGTAGTAGTTATAGTACTAGTAGTAGGAGTAGTAACTGAAGGGTCTTTCGTCGATTTCTCAGAAGCGTTAGTTAAAATTGTTTCGATTTCAATAGCTGGCATACTTGATGTTGCAGGAAAATCGGTGTCGGTCACGCTTGGGCCAGTTGATGTTTCGACCAGCTTAGCGTTTGGTTCAGTGTTATTAGCCAGTGGCATAGGTTTAGTTTCTGAAGTCAACGCGTTACTACTTATGTCCAAACTCATTTGTGTGACCGTAGCCTCCGCTAACATTGGTTCGTTAGAAGACAGGCTCCCGAAAAAATCGTCGTTATCAGTTGGCCCGAAATTATAAGGTCCATAGTCACTGTTGTCTATTTCATTCGAAGATCTAAGTGCTTCTTCGACGGCTAGATATTTCGTGGTTTCCGGTTGACTGGTCGTGGTCGAATCTAAGGGTTTTATTTGAGGCTGTGTCCCGATTTCGACCACCATTTTATCAGTATGAGAGTTCATCGCTGGATTTGTGCTCATGTCTATTTTCGACATTGTAAAACTACCGTCACCCACATACGTCACTTTGGCTGTAACTGGAAGTTCAGTGATTACCGTATCTACATCACTGGCTGATCCTTTGGTAACATTCGTCACTTGAATAGTTTGGCTGGTTGGAGTCATTTCCGCGACAACGGTACCTTCAGTAGTAATAGCTACGGATTGGGTAGTAGAAGATACTTCAGGGCACGAATCAATTAGGAAACTATTCGGCTCGTCAAAACCGTACAGTTGAAGAACGCTTTTGAATTGAGGTCTCAAGCAGACTTCTTCTCGACTCATAGTTAAACCGTTTAAAAATCCGTCGCTTTTGAAGTATGTCTAAAAATAATATTCAACGATAATGTGTTAATTTACAAAACTATAGCACAGCGATGTTTGTTTACTTTGAGGTAACGATTTAAGTCTCTCATCCCGATCCTAACTGCTAAAATTTCCCAAGGCAAATTCAAAGATTGCTTTATCTGTAGCGCAGAATATCCACTAGAACCCTCATATAACAACACCGATACAGCCATTAAACCGAAAGGGGAAAATGCAATGTTGCCAGCCACTCCTCCGGCAGCTATAACCTGAAATAATAAAAGTATACTTACACGTTTAAGCCTTGAGTGTATATTTAAAAACTTACCAATAAGGAATAACATTTAATAATGAACAGTCGTTCATTCAGAAATAATATATGATAACTAAGTACAATTTGTTTTTTAAACGAAATATAAATTATTCGATGGTAATAAATCTATCATAGGTGCGTGTGTGGTCAGAACCAGTTAAGTCCAGTTTTAACACCATAAAACAAAATGGCCATTTGATTTAAAATATAAATCAATATATTACCTACAATTTAAATGATGTTTTTTTTATTATTGATTAATTAGTTACGGGAATCGAATAGTCACAGTTATGTATACACACACACATATATATATATAATACTAGTTATTACTTACCCGCAAGACACAAACTCCAAGGTCATTAGTTAGATCTGCCATCGAGTCCATTGGCCGAGGACTTAAAGGCCGCTTCTGGTAAAACGAATATTGACTGTATTCGTCCTGCAAATTCGATCTGATTGCACCTGCAATATTTATATCAAAGCATATTGTGTCAATATTAGCGCCAACATATTCTGCTGTAGAGTTATCAAAATGTTACAAAAAAAAACTATTCAATTATGAAGTTCGATTTAGAAGAAAATTGTTGTTCTATAAAACCACGGCACAATATGTTAAACACTTGATTATATTTGTAAATTTAAAATATTGTTATAAACAAGAGGTAAATTTCCCATTAGGCACGATAGTCTAAGTGCCTATGGCCTCCAATTTTTAAATATAGGCCAGGGGCTTTGGAATAGGCAAGACAAATATATGTAAAAGAATATCCAACGGGGTGGTAATGTAGCTAGTGTATAGAAGAGTAACCTTGGTTATAATAATGCTAATTTATCAAGGTTCTCTAGGGAAGAGGAATAACCTTTTTTTTTTGTCTTGGCCTTCAACATATCAAGTTAGACTTATTTTTGAAAACTAATAAGATGTTCTGGAACCTGATATTTTCAAACTTTTCATGGTATATTGTTTATTAAACTGAGAAGGTCGAGTAAACTTTAATTGTCAAAGGTTAAACTATTGTTCGTTTTCTCTTCTTTTTAGTCTCTTGTAAAAACTTGACTACTCAGAATGTGTTTTACTTGATTCACAATAAGTTACAATTTACAACCTAACGCTTATTTTCAAATGGAATAAAATGGCTTTGGTAGGAGTCCCGTCCGTTTTCTAAATATTTCTTAGAAAAGTTATTATTGTTAAATACATTATGTAAAAAAAAATTCCTTTTTTTATAAAAGAGAACAATATTCCGGAGGGCAAGACGGTGCGTTTTTTTTAAAGTTACAGTCATTTAAAAATGTTAAAATAGTCGTTTTTTCTAAACTATGTATTGAGCGTTCTACTTAGAATAATGAAAAAACGCAATGTCTTGCCCTCCAGAATATAGTTCTCTTTTAATTTTATAATGGTGCTTTTACTCTAAACCCAAAATTAAGCGAGTTATTTTTAGTCTGCTTAAACATGTAGAGATGAAAAACATTTTTAAATCGCTTTCAAGGATGCTGTGATAGTCCAAAAAATGAATTAACTACCAAATAGTCCTAGTTATTGAACTAATAATTACACATCACAGCTTAACCTTTAAATTATGATTTTGTAAAAAATTACCTATACTTTGCTCCTTAAAAATGGGCGGTGCTTAAAACTAAGATTTTACGGAAATTACCTATACCGAATTTCTTAAAGGGACGCTACCCACCCGTAACTTTTTGTCTTAAAAAAAGTTTACGACAATCAATCTATACAGGCTGTAATGGTTCTAGAAACAAACAAATTTTCAAATAAAATAAAAAATAATATTCCCTGTTTGAATATTTTTTTTCCGTGAATGTTTAAAAAAAAAAAAAGCAAACAAAATGTTTTAAAAAATTATTGAAAATTAGTGGACTGAGTAATCGAAAATTTAAAAACGTTTAAGCACAGATAATGTTTTTCTCTAGCTACTGCGAAAATTTGGTGGTTTTACAACTGTTCCAAGACACTTTGGTTTTGATTCGCGCAAATCTATTTTAAGGGAAAATAATAATAATTGTAATTTTGTCTATTAAAATTTGTGTAACTCTGGCGAAAAAATAACAATCAATTAAAAATTCTCATTATTGTATTAATAAGTGTACAGTATACACTATAGTTTCAGCTCTAAATTAAAATTTTGTGAAAAATTTCTTATACTCTACCTCTTAATAAATGGGTGGGTTGCGTCTCCTATATAAATGACGTACGTCCTGTGTCACATTTATCAATAAACTTGACAAGTATTTTTTTTTATTAATAAATTTTAACTTTTATAATATTTATTATCTAATTATTTTTCGATTCGTTGAATTGACGCCTCAATCGAAAAATCCTTTCGAGTCTAAAAGTATTAGCATAGGTTATAAAATATTTATACCTAATCAAATATTAGGTATGTAATTATTATGTGAAATAATTCTTAGGAGCAATACAAATTTTTAATATTTATATATAAAAAAAAAATATATACATTTTTGAAAACTTACCCAGAAATGATATTATTAAAACGATAGCCCATAACGTTTTCATAGTGTACGCGAAATGTGATATTGTTTTACGCACTTAAAGCTTTCGAGTGCAAGAAATGTTGGGTTTTTTTTTTAAAAATTAAACATGGATGAATTTTTTATGAATGTAATTACTACAAAAAAATAACTAAACTTATATAGCCGGTACCGCGAGCAGTGAGTTAACACGGTTACCGCGTTCAGCGTCTAGCAGAGACTACAGGAGTAAGGAGTAAGGACAGTCAGTTAACTAAGCAGTAATATTTTAAAAACTGATGCAAATCGCGCTCAAACCTAAATTCCACGGTAAAACGGTGCATCCAACATTGGACAATAGCTACATCATCTATTCTGTGGCTACACTGCTACCGACTGTTATCTTGTCCGAATGTGATAACAATAATTATTGTACGTTCTCGAAGATGTAAATATAAAAATTATTTGAATTTTTTTTTTTCTTTATATCGTTTTTAATATTGTGCTGATGCTTTGGAAATACAATTACGGTTGTCTTCTCCTACAAATCACACGCCTAACCCGTAATATAAAACCAGACGTACCAATGGGGAGTATGGCAAGTTTCGTTTGAGATGATTTATTAGATAAAATGGCCCAATCCGCCGCAATTGAACAATCCAGCACCGAACGGCTTCTGAAAGACTATCAGATGCGAAGGCGGATTGAGCCCCGGATCACCCTTAGGAAGCTGTCGCTGTTTTGTACTTTGCTAGCGTTGTTTGGAATTGTATATTTTGGTTACTTTTGTTCGGACAACCGTTGTTCATTGTCCTACAACCCTAAACCTGCAATTTACTCGGAATGGACTGTTATGAATATATTATCGGCTAACATGTCCGGTATGTGTACAACATAATAGTAATTCAAAGTATAAGTTGTTTTCTAAAAACTGCTTTTGTTTTAGACCAAAAGAGTGCTAAAGATACGGGCACGGGTGTAAGCTACGATGACATGCAAAATGAAAATGAACTACGCTTTGATATGAACGCACATGATGTTATGGTATTCTTGCATATTCAGAAGACTGGTGGGACGTCTTTTGGGCGTCATCTAGTTCAGGACTTGGATTTACAACGCCCTTGCACTTGTCAAAGAAAAAGGAAATTATGCTATTGTTTTAGACCAAGTCGTAACGAGAACTGGTTGTTCAGTCGGTACTCGACTGGTTGGAAATGTGGTCTTCACGCAGACTTTACAGAGTTAACTGGCTGTGTTGATTCAGAATTAGATAAGAATGAAGGGAAATCGATCAAAAGAAGGTAGCTTCAATATTCAATATTTTTTTAACAATTGTATTATACATTTTCTTTTAATTTACAAACCATTGTTTAGGTATTTCTATCTGACGTTATTGAGAGATCCAGTAAGTCGATATTTATCTGAATATAAACATGTGCAAAGAGGAGCAACGTGGCGAATGTCTAGGCATTGGTGTGGTGGTCATCCTGCAACGCCTAAGGAATTACCCAAATGTTATAACGGTACATTTTGGACGGATGTTACATTAAATACATTTGCCGATTGTCCACATAACCTAGCTGCTAATAGGTGCTTTCTATAGACATCTATTTTTACAAATTATTAATTTATTGATAACTATAATGGGTATTGTTTTAGGCAAACAAGAATGTTAGCAGATTTAACATTAATCGGCTGTTACAATAACTCGTTAATGAACAAAGAAGAACGAGACCGAATTATGTTAGCTAGTGCAAAACAAAATTTGCTGTCCATAGCATTTTTTGGACTCACAGAATTTCAAAAGGTATAACATATTAATCTATGAGGAGGAGTGGCTGAGTGAGTAAGGCGGCAATGTATTAACGCTCACTGTCGCTGGTTAGACACTCGGTCATGGGCACTCCATTTGCTGTGCGAGCAATCGTCCAGTGAAAAGGAGCCGCGAATCTGTCTAGTAACCATCTTATGATGGCAGCATTCGGCCTTTATGGCCTGTTAAGCTCTATATTAAATATTCAACAATTTACAATTTTTTACTTTTTCAGTTGAACCAATACATCTTTGAAGAGACATTCAATTTGAGGTTTGCTGTGACGTTTACACAACATAACACAACTCTTTCAGCAGTTTATAAATCATTATTAAACAAAGAAGAGTTGGAAAAAGTGAAAAAAATTAATGCTTTAGACATTGAACTCTATGAATTTGCCAGACATTATTTGTTTCGGTAACTACCAACTTTAATGAAATTTGATAAAAACCTTTTAATATTTTGTCTTTCTGTTTTTAGACGATTTGAGAAATTACGAACTAAAAATGTTAACTTTAAAGAACGTTGGTCTCATTTAGGCCAATTACCTAGCCATACTGCATTTGACTGGGAAAAAGAAGTAGAGACTGAAGCTGCCGACAATGAAGTTAATTACACCTAGCAATAGTAATAATGCTATTTAAACGTAATAATAATTAATGCATCTATTTTATTTTTTTTTAATACAATTTTTTTGGGAAATGTAGTATTAATATAAGTAAATAGGTATTTGTAAAAATTTGTATTTATAAAAAAAAATGTTTACGTTTGAAACTTAATAAATAATTAATAATTGAATTAAATTAAGTAAATTAATATTGTGTTATGGATATTATCACTTTATTATATTGTTGAGAGATTGCAACATTATATAAATATATGATTTCTTAAACTGACATATCATTTTGAACAAAAATAAGTAGACAAATGTTTTTGAAAAAAACATTATAACATATCATAAAATATTGTCATAATAACTGAGGAGAAAGTGTGGTCATTAATTTATTATAATTGACCCTTTATTAAGGCCTGGTTCACACCTGTCCCAACAGTATGCAACGTATGAAAATACAAAACTTAAATATAACATTTTACAACTATGTATATAATATATGCATGGTTTTTATCCTAAATTCATAGGCGGTGTGTAAAAAAACACACGTACCATAAGGATTAGATGTGAAATGGGCCTAAAACATTTTAATAGTTTGGATATCTGTTTATAAAGCTCTTTTTCTTAATCTCATATCTTGCAACCCATAAAAATAATCTTAATATACCACTAATGTAATTCCAATTATCATTCCATAAATACAATTTTGAATCACATACCTTATAAAAATTGTTATTTGATATCTATTGAAAAATATGTAACCATGATCATTTAGTTTATATTATAAACATATCATGTAAAAAGTAATTATGCTATTGTTAAACAACTCTATAATTGAATTACTACAACATAATCAAGTTACCACTTTTACATTTTTGTTTTACCTGTTATCAAAAACATTTTTTTTTTTTTTTAAAGACTGGGAATTAAACTTAATAGTTATATGTAATACTTTTTAAACAATGTACTATAAATTAACCTTACCTTTTTATACCAACTACTTTTCTTATTGCTTTACATAAAACTTAAATAAATAAATTAAATTAAATTTAGTTATTTTTTGCGATTATAATTTATTTATTATTGTATAATAGTATTTGATATAATAATAATAATTATATATTAAATATACATTTGTTCTTATTATTTATATAATTAAGTAAAATTTGAAGACTTGTGCTTACATTAAGTCAATATTCTCAACTTAGAATTTAGTATACTTACTAATATTTTTTTAGACTTAAATTATAGTAATGTCCATTCAAATAAGTAGACTTAATTGTTTTATTAAATCTAATTAAATAAATTAGTACTGGTATTTAAATGTTTTATAAAACACAATTTGTATTTAATCCTTTATACAATCATGAGTTAAGCCGGGTTACACAAAACATGAATACATTTTACAGGTCATAGTTTTAATTTATGTTTATTACATCACAATTTTATTGTATTCTTTTTTTAACATCACAATGATCAACAGAAATTGGTGTAGCTGTACTAATACTGGTAAGGCAATATCATTTACAATTTAAATTATATATGTGTGAGTATTTATAATTAAGAATAACACATATATTCAATATTAATTGAAATGTAAAGCGTTGATTTTCTTTTAAATGACACACTGGTATTTGTATATAACAAAGATCAACAAAATTCTAGTCGAGTTACTTTAATATTACAAAATAAATTATTATGATTTAGCATAATTATGTCTTTTAAATATATATATATATGTTATATTTTGTATAGTAAATATAAGTATACGTTTAATGCTCAGTAAATAAATAACAATAGAATTTAAAATGGTATTACGTGTACATATTAAAAATATCATAGAAAAAAAATGGGAGGGGGGGTTGTTGGAAATAAAATTCTAAAGTATGGTTTTTTTAACCATTCAATTATACACCCAGTAAAACTAAACTGGGTTTGACTTTTTTCAAAAAACGAATTTCTTGCTATTTCCAGCAACAAGACGTTAAAATAATAATTAATAGAGCACTTGTTACTAATGTATTTTAAATATTACCCGAGTACAATATTACCCGTTTATGCCGAATATGATTCAGGTACATATAATTTTTTTATTAAGAATTTTTTTTAAATTAAAGCTATTGAAAAAATTAATAAATAACAGGTACTCAAACTAATAAGCTTGTACTCGGGTATATAATGTTACTGGTATTACCCAGTAAAAATCAAGAGCCATAGTAATACATTTTAATTTAAAAATTATTACAAATGTCGTTATAAAATAAATTTAAAAAAATTAAATAAATTATTCAAATAAAAATAATAAAGGAATTATTTTTTTTGAAAAATATGAGTGACAAATCATTTTTTACAAATAATATATAAATGGAGTAAACCCTGAGAGAGGCTTATGCAAAATAAATAAAGGCACTGGGTATACATTGTTTTATAGTTAGGATAGGTTCTTAAATAATAGTTGTTCATAAGATCACAATAGAATAAATAAATAATAAGTAGTACTAAGATAGTATGAAAACTTACAATACGTTTTTTTCAGATTCATTGATAATAAAATAATTGATCACTAGATATTTATAGTTAAAATTTATGTAGTAAAGATATAAAATCTACTTGAACCCTAAACCATAAAAATTATACACTTCTTGCGTACAAGTGTTACGACAACGATGTTGTCAACTTCAGCGCTAACAACAGACTGAGTGTATAATTGGTATGGTTTAGGGTTCAAGTAGATTTTATATCGTTACTATATATTTAACCATAAGTTTGCTTAACAGTTTTTTCTAGATTAAAATTCATGGTTTTTCACAAAAGAAAAATTATGAAACTATACATTAGTTATTAATGTTATTAATTGGAATGAATAAAATAAAAAGGAATACTTGATAACTTTTAAAGTATTGATTGTTCCAGCATAATTTTATCGTAACCACTAGTTGGTGGATATGAAAACTTTTCCAATACTATATCTAATATTGCACCATCATCCACTAAAAAATGTGTAAATAATTAATATCAAAAAAGACTTGTATTTAAACATATATTAATAGTTTCATGACACTTAAAACTCTGGAAAAGTCCTCAAAATAGGCATCCACAGTTAGCGCCCAGTCTTTTGTTTATCGGCCAAGTAGTCAATCACCAAACTATTTCATACTTATTACTATTATTTTTATTGACACTCACCAAAAAGAGCTGGATAAACAGTTCCTCTGATTCCTGTAATAGGTTCATTGATCGATTGACCATTAATTGAGTAGTTCAGCTCAACGTGGTCGTAATAAATGCCCTAAACAAAAAAAAACTTGTAAAATAAAGTTTATCGTTATAGAAATGTCTCTTTACGTACAATAACATCACCCTCTTCGATGCTATTGTCTATGGCTTTGATCACTTGCTGATTGTGCCTCTGGGCACCGTCATTACACAAAACCCATGAACATGTATCGTGGCCTCCTGGTGCTTTAGACAGATCTACATCATTTGAGGCTAAGCCGACACCCCAGATTCCTATTTAAAATGCATAAAATGGTTATAAACATTCAACCAAAGTTAAGGATTCCGTTGAAAATCACCTGATTGCTGCACTTTCACTTCAAAGTAACATTTATTTTGTACTATCGGTGCAGTGCACAAAACGCCACCACTACCACATATCCGCATGCCATTTTTCACAATTACTACTTCATTACCTGGGACAATCATCGTTAGTTTCAAACAAAAAAACAGCTACTTATAAGCATATGACAAACCCATTCGGCTGGTGTCCAAGCATATCAGATTTATTTCTGGATACGTAACATGTTCTGCGTATTTCATGCTGTCGAAGCATCTTTTGAAACATGATAGCACAACGGCCATCAAGTATTAAATTTATATAATTGTTACTATTGAAACTACAAACTAATTATTTTTTATTAGACGAAGTAATTAAACATAAATTTTAAGTTAAACAGTGCCAGATTGATCGTATTTGGGTTATCAACAGAAATGTTGCTATCAGGGATCAATTATTATCAATTAATTTAAAAAGCGTCCTGCGTCTGGTTGTATATTTGGGTGAACTTTTGTTTATAAAAACCGATTTTAATTTATTTTCTAGGTTTGACATCTAAAAAGTAAAATAATCTCTTTTATTTTTACTTTATATATATTTATATTAAAAGTAATATAGCTAGCAAAACTTATTTATTTACCCATAAATAAGTTGACATACCAGATTCTTTAACCCAACGGAAAGATATTATATTCTAAACAGTTATTCTCCATGGAGCTATTTACTTTTTCTGTTCCTCTTAAAATCAGTCTTTTTAAGAATTATTAAATCTAAGTGTTAATTGTTTACAGAAACATCAAACATCTGTTCAATGGCGTAGCTACCGTTGGTGCAGGGGGTAGCTGTCCCTGGGCGCATTCTATTTTAGAGCTTTTTTGTACGGTTTACCATACACGTTAATATGGGTGCTTTAGTCTCTAGTTACGCCAGTGCATGTGCATCTGTTAAATTCTAATTGACTAACCTTAGACATAGGTTGACTAAACTGAAACAAATAACATCTATCCAGCAAAACCCATTAAACAGTAACGATCCTAATATTATTCTATAATAAAACCAATTAAAATAAGTAAAATTCTCTTTTTATTCTTTGATATTATCAATTAACATTTTTTAAACATATATGATAATGCAGTATAATACTTATAAAAGTAAAAATTACAATAATTAAATAGAATATACAAAAAAACAACTAAGAACAAACATAACAAAATATACATATAATAAAATATCAAAAATTAAAAAAATATATAACAAAAAAAAAAAGGTATTTATTAGTACTTCGATCATATACAAAAGTTTAGAACACTATTGAAGTAAATAAATACATTTTGTTTGTGCCATTTCATTAGTTGTCAACTAGATTTCATTACATTTTGGTTAACAAAATATATTTATTAAATATCTAATAATATAAATTTACTTGTATAATTTTATTCAATTTCCAAAAGATTTTAATTAAGTATTTGTATTTTGTCAATTGTAATTGCATGTAAATGGGTCAATGTAATTTTTTCATATTGTACCCAAATATTAAATGCCTGAAACAAATGTTGTACTTACAATTAGCATATAGTAAACATATATATGAAATTTAGTAGATGCACCAAATGTAATATTTAGTTATTAACAAACAGTTTATTTATCTAATAATAGTTATTTGTAAAAAGTTAGTCAGGCTATTTAATTTAGAGTATATACCTTAACTCAGGATTCTTGTTTAAAACGTCTAATGCACTCGTAAATGATTTGTTTATAACTGTCCAGTCTGCACCATATTTATGAATTAACGTCACTAAACTGGCATTACCACTTGCACAAGCGTAATGTAATACACTGTTACCACAATGATCTTGTTTGTTGACATCACATTTTTCAGAACTTAATAGAATAATGACAGTCTCATTCATTGAATGTTGTACAGCTAAATGTAACGCTGTAAACTGTTCAGACGTTGTTACAGCATTTATATCAGATCCGTGCTTTATCAACATATTGACAATATCATTTTGGCCATGCATTGCAGCGACGTGTAATGGAGTGTAACCTTTATTATTTGCACAGTTTACATAGACACATCTTTTTGTACATTGATTTTCGTTGTCAATTCCTAAATAGTACTGAGCCAATCGTATATCACCATCGGATATTGCTGTCAGTATTTTGTCTATGACTCGTTGTTGTTGGGTAACTTCAATGCTTCTCTTTCTTACACGTTCGATACTTTTTTTCTTATAAGCCGAAAATTGCTCGACCATTTTAAAGTTATGAGCACAATCAAAGCATGTTTGACCTCTACGATTACATACTAACGGGTCAGCAGTTTGCTCAAGCAATATGTCGACTAAATTTGAATAACCCCACTTGAAACACAAATGCAGTGGTGTATTGCCTTGATTGTTTTGAATATTTATATCTAACGTCGAATCAGAAAATTCCATAAAATATAATAGAGCTTTCACACAAGACTCTTGACCATTAGAACAACAAAGGTGTAAAGGAGTGTTACCTTCGTTATCACCGCTCATCGAGGCTTTCTTGTGCAATAAAAACAATAAAGCATTTTGCTGTCCTCTTAGAGCAGCGTAATGGGCAGGCGTCCGTAAAAAATTATCCAACGCATTTATATCCGATCCATACTGTAATAGTAGTTCAACAATAAGAGGATGTCCGTAAAATGCTGCTATATGAAGAGGCGTGAGTCCCTGATCATCTTTGTAATTAACACAAATCATAGATTCTTTATAAACTTGTTTAATGCATGAATCACATTCACACAAAGGATGACACATTGAACTGGATGTTTCTATTTTTATGTGGTCTAAGGTTTTTTTGACTTTTTGATAGTCTCCGCTTCGGACGTGGTTGAAAAATAGACTATATTTTGAATCGTTAGCAGTTATAAACAAATCAATATTGAAACTGTATGTTTTTATGTGTTCAATAGCTGCTTCTAAAGAAGTTAAGTAAAAGTTGTCATCAAAATCTTTATTATTGCTCATGATATAATTTTTCATGAAATAAATTTGAGCACTCCAATTTGGTATTTTACAATGAATGATAAGATTGACTAAGGCGTTCAAAAGATTATCAACGGTGAAATTATTGTTTCCATTGGACAATTTCAAAAATGTGTCTTTTAAACATTTATATTTTCCAATAATAGTTCTATGAATATACAACTTAGACAATTCACATCTAGCATTAGGTATTACAGCCTCAATATCTTTATCAACATCTAAATCGAGTGGGAAGCTAGAGTAATTTTGAATTAGTTTATTTAAAATTGAGTCATCTTTTGCAACACAAATGTTTATGTTTCTTATTAAGATATTGTATACCCTATTATAAACATAGTATTCTACTGCAAGTTTAATATTATCTTGAAAAAAACTGTTTGGCGATTTGAAGTTACTATATGCTTTCCTCAAACATTTATTATATAAAATATTAACTGTTTTTCTTTGTTCGTCTATATGCATATTAGAAAAACTGTACGTCAACAAGAATGTATCTACTAAATACCTCAAGTCTTTTAACAATGATTTATTATTTTTAGAATACAAAAAATTTAAACAGTCTTGTGTTGATTGAATAATAATTATTTCTTGAGTTATAGTAGCACTCGTTAAAGGCCCATTTGTGCATATAATCTTGTAACTTTGACTATCTTCAGTGTAGCAGGTTTCAACAAACAGTATATCAACTGCAGTCACTTGATTGTCATGATGACATTGAATCGATTTATTATTTACAGAAACATTATGTCCACTAAGTGTCATAAAATTGAAGTCTGTGCACTTACTAGGTGTTAAAATGTGATCATTAAAATCTTTAACTGTAAAAGTATTTTTTGAAAAAGATCCATCTCTAGGAACACATATCAACCATCCATTATCAACAGCTTGATAAAAAGTATTTACCGAAGATTTGCAAAGACAAACCAAAAACTGATTGAGTGTTACATCTTCGTCGTAGCTGTGGTCCATATTAGCTTAGAAATTATAACCTTTGCTCATTCCTGAAAAAATAGTTAAATTAGCAAGTCAATAATAATAATAACAACAATGAGAAATGAAACTTGTAAGTCATATACTGATTGTCAAGAAGTAAACCCGTTAACAAACAATAGAGGAAACGTGTATTCATGTAATATTTATTCTTATGAACGAACTTACCCTTAAATAAAATATTTTCAAAAGTTTTTATGACAGAATTAGAAAGAAAACTGATATATTATATTACATATAATAACTGGAATAAAAAAATAATAATATTGCTTCGAGTCTTGATTAGATTTATAACCTCTTTTTAATGTCTAAAACTATATATAAATTGAGATGACAAAAACACTTCTCAACGTCTCAACATTGTTGATAAAATAAATTTAGAGTGAATACATGATTTAAATTATCATGGTTTATGTCGAAAATTACGTAATAAACTTGGTACTATCACAGATTAGATCTAATCTGTGAAGGTATCAAACACAAAAATATAAAAAACTAGTGATAAGAATTAAAGTCGACAGTCGGCCATTGTGTTGATATAATCGTGTTTGGGGCAGTTCAATATAATCAAATAATCTGTTGACTGATAATTTGTGTAATAAAATTATAAATTATATTTATTCTAAAAATTGACAGTAAATTCATGAATTTAGTCATTTAAATTTGTTTTGTGTTTTAAAAAGTAAAAACATTTATTAACAACAAGGTTATTATGGGTACTAGTTAAAATGTTTACTAAAGACAGTTGTTCCCCTACAGTTTTTCCCGCCAATTTTCACAGCGTCAACACAAAGATGAAATATCTATCAGCATACTATTAACAGTTTAGTTAGAAGTTACACTTACCTGTTGCAAATTACAAGTTACGGCGCACAGCACTGAAGTCCAAACATTCTACAACCCGAAATCTATATAACACTGTTATTTTTACTGACTTTTACTCGTTGAAACTCTGTATCCAATTGTTGTCGTGATTAAATCTATTATTTTACAATGGACGTAGCAGAAACCCAGACTGGTGTTAATAGGGTTAGAGACCAGTTGAAAGTCAGGTCACAGAAGTTATTTCAAGATTTCCTCGAAGAGTAAGCAATTGTATATTTGTTTTATTCTGTATCGTTAAATTATTTATTTACCTTTTCTTTTTAATTCTAGGTTTGTCGAAGAAGGTAATAATGAGCCTAAGTACTTAGAAGCCGCTGTAGAAATGACAAATTCAGAGCGTTTTACATTAGAAGTCAGTTTTCTTGACGTAGAAAAGTTTAATCAAAATCTTGCTATTACTATTCTAGAAGAATATTATCGGTAAGCATAGAATTATGTTTTTAAGAGAACCAAATAAATTTTACAAACTTTTTTCGTTATAGGGTTTATCCTGCTTTGTGTATGGCGGTTGGAAACTTTGTAAATGACCGAACAGAAGCGACAGGTAGCCATCACGACTATTTTGTGAGTTTTGTTGACGTTACCACCAGGTTCAATGTTCGTGAATTGACTACATCTAGAATTGGAGAATTAGTACGTATTTCTGGCCAAGTCATTAGAACACATCCAGTTCATCCCGAACTTGTGTCTGGACATTTCACTTGCCTTGACTGCCAGACAGAAGTGCCAAGTGTAGAACAACAGTTTAAAGTATGTTATAATTGTTTACAATACAAAATCAGTAACATTTTAATTTAGTTATAAAATAAAATAACATCAATATATGGAAAAATATATTTATTTTAGTTACAACTAGTGATTTTATGCTTACGGTTTAGAAATTATTGCTTTACAAATAAATGTTTCTTTTAATTACTAATTATGTCAGTTTTTGATAAGTAAAATTGTTTTTTCATTGCAAAAATAATTATTTAAATATTTTGAATTATAACCATTATATAACTATTATTATATTGTATTTATTTAGTATACACAACCAACAATTTGTCGAAATCCTGTATGTGCTAACCGAAAACGATTCAGCTTAAATGTTAACAAATCTCGATTTGTCGATTTTCAAAAAATACGTGTTCAAGAATGTCAGTCAGAACTTCCTCGTGGTAGTATTCCTCGCAGGTAAACTGGGTTTTTTAAATATTTTTTTTTTGGTGATATTATGTTAATTTAAACTATATTCAAAATACTATGTGTTTTAAATATACAGTTATGTATTGTTGCTCCTTAAAAAAACACCTCGTTTCACCTGAGGTAGCTCTTCTTTTATCCATGCTAAATTTTTTTTTACGTTGGCCGTGTGAAATATTTTTATTTTTTTTAGCCTGGAAATAATTTTGAGGAATGAGAATGTTGAAACTGTTCAAGCCGGAGATAGATATGATTTTACTGGAACTTTAATTGTTGTACCCGATGTAAGTGTAATGTCAACCCCATCGGCTAGAGCTGAATCGGCATCTGGGAAAAAAGGAGATGCTAATAACGAAGGTGTCAAAGGTTTAAAGTGCTTAGGCATCAGAGATTTAAACTATAAGTTAGCATTTTTGGCTTGCAGTTTGTCTGCGACTGACTCAAGGGTAAGGTTTTTTTCATACTAACATAATTATTTATTTTTATTATTATTGTAATTATGATTAGATTAGATATTATATACTTTTATATATTTTTGTAGTTTGGTGGAAATGGAGAAATGAATAACGATGAGCTTACTACAGATTCTATTGAGCGCATGAAGAGACAAATGACAGGACCTCAATGGGAAAAAATATATGAAATGAATCGTGACCGTAACCTATACCAGAATTTGATAAACAGTCTTTTCCCGTCAATACATGGCAATGATCAGATTAAAAAAGGTAACATTTATTATTATAAATGTTGTTTGTGGGTTTGGTCAGTTAAACAATTAGATCTTCACTAGTGAACGTTGATTACTAGCCATTACTAAAGATAAATGTATTATAAAATTAAAGTAACTTAATTTTTTTTATTACAGGAGTGTTGTTGATGCTTTTTGGAGGAGTACCAAAAACTACATTGGAAGGTACAACACTTCGTGGAGACATCAATTGTTGTATTGTTGGTGATCCGAGTACTGCTAAATCCCAGTTACTGAAACAAGTAGCCGATATGTGTCCAAGAGCCGTTTATACTTCAGGAAAAGCATCTAGTGCCGCTGGGTTGACAGCTGCTGTGGTTAGAGACGAAGAATCATTTGATTTTGTAATTGAAGCTGGCGCTCTTATGTTGGCCGATAACGGTGTCTGTTGTATCGATGAATTTGACAAAATGGATCCACGTGATCAAGTGGCCATCCACGAAGCTATGGAACAGCAAACTATATCCATTGCAAAGGTATAAATAACTTCAAGCAATTTTATATATATTTTTTTTCTTTCAAGAAGAATTCAGCATCTATGCTGTTATATTTTGACAATTATGTGCAAATATAAACAGTGGTATAGCCGTAAGAGTAAACGCTTTGTGTAGCTGACACTACTGCCTATAATGGTTCGATTTTATTGAAATACATTTTCAATTATCCATACTGAAACAAGCTATACCAACAGTATCGATCATGATCGACATAATTTTTATATAAATAGTTATTAATATTTCACATAAAAACTTATTGCTACGTTAAATAATACCAAATTCCATTTCTTTAGGCTGGTGTTAGGGCAACATTGAATGCCAGAACGTCTATACTTGCAGCTGCTAATCCAATTAACGGACGATATGAACGAAGTAAATCCCTACAACAAAATGTATCTCTATCGGCCCCAATTATGTCTCGTTTTGATTTATTCTATGTGCTTATCGATGAATGCAGCGAAGTAAGTAATTAAAAGTTTTTTTTTTGTAATTTTATCATGTTAATTTTTTTCTTCTCTTAAATATAGGTTGTAGATTACGCTATAGCTAAAACAATTGTAGAAATACATAGTAATATGGAAGACACAATTGAGACCTTGTACAACCAAGAAGACATTTTAACATATATTGCATTTGCGCGTCAATTCAAGCCCCAGCTCACAGTTGTAAGTTGATGTGAGCTTATTTAAAACTAATTTTAAAAAACTTCAGTACGTTTTTACTAACTCCTAGGAAGCATCGGAGAAATTAGTTGCTGCCTATACTCAACTTAGACAACGTGATAGTCAGTCTAGTACAAAGTCAACATGGCGTATAACAGTGCGACAATTAGAATCATTAATTCGAATATCGGAGGCCATGGCTAAAATGGAATGTTCTGATCATGTAATTATTATTCATATTATTAACATTTTAGCGACTTATGTTTCAAATAATTGTTCTAAGCTACATATATCCATATTTAAAGATTTGCTTAGAAAACATGAATATTGCTTTTAGTGAAACATTTATATTGTAACGTTGAAATATTTAAAAATATTTATGGATTTTTATAATAGGTAACACCAAAACATGTTTCTGAGGCCTTTAATTTGTTGAATAAGTCTATAATCAGGGTTGAACAACCTGATGTCAATTTGGAGGATGACGAAGAAGAAGTCTTAAATGCATTGGCTGAATCTAATGGTGCGATACAGTGATAAAATTAATCATAGATTTTAAAATGTACAGAAACATAAATTTGATTCCTAATGTTTACCAGTTACAAAATTTGTTGTTACTTTTGACCACATCTATCAATATATTTTTAATTCGGAATTAACACTGTAACTATAATTATTAGCTATTGGTTTCACTAATGTAATGAATTTGTAATAGGCATGGATGTTGATGAGCCTGAAGAAACCGACAAACGAGTTCTAACTAAGAAAAAGTTTACACTAGCTTTCGAAGAGTACAATCGCATTACAAACATGTTGGTTGCTTACATGAGGAATGAAGAAGAAAAGAGAATTGCTGGTATTTATTTTATTTATATTTCTCTCAGTGTACATTATTTGTGTTAACTTTTTTTCCATTTAAGAAAAGGGAGAAAATGAAGATGGTGGTTTACTTCGAAGTGAAATAGTCAGTTGGTACTTGGAAAAAATCGAAGATCAAATAAATGACGAGTCTGAATTAGTAGAAAAAAAGAGTTTTATTGAAAAAATTTTGGATCGTTTGATTTACAATGTAAGTATATTTATTTTGTCTTTTAATTAACAAAATGTTTATTAAAAAAAAAATTGTCAAAATAGGATAATGTGTTGATTGCCTTATCACATTTTAAACCGCCTGAGTCGGGACATGCAGAACAAGAAGAGAGCGAAGAAGATCCTGTATTAGTTGTTCATCCTAATTTCGTTGCCGGTCTTTGATTTATTTTGTTTATTTTATTCTGTAATACTGTCCTATTTTTTTAAATTAATTGTATGTTGTATGTGTAATTAAATTTAACATTGTATAACTTAAAACATTTTTAAAGTTAAAATATAGTGTGCAAAAGATCTTAATGGTCGGTCTGTTAAGCACAAAAAAAAAACAGAACAATTATCTTTTTTTTTCTCCTAAGGCTAAACAAAGAAAACATCTTAAAAAATTTAAAAAACAAGTATTTCAGCATAAACCAATTTTGTTTTGTAAGTGGCTTACAACTTTGGAAATAATTAAAAAAACTAAATGATAAGCTAGAGAAAATTGAGGCCAGGTTCAGAGTTAGCACAAAAAACAGGTATTTTGGATTAAGGGCCTCTACACTAGCATTTATTAAGGCGCATATAGGCATCGTATAGGCAATTTTCAGCTAAAACTTAACATTAAGCTAAAAATTTTAAACATACATACTACCATAGTAAAAAGGTATCTATTTTGATTATTTTTCAACATTTATAACGCATACAGGATCTATTTTTGTACAAAAACACATGTTTCTACTTCAAACGTACTGTCTTTAAGAATACACCAACTTAAGTTGTTAAAAAACATTTGAATTCTTCACAACATTTTCAAGGCATCGGTTGTGGCGCAATTTTAAAACTATTTTCAGTTAGTTAATTATTTCAATATAAAAAAGTGTATTTTTTAACTTTTTACAACTGAAAATAATTTTATCATTGTGTCACGACCGATGCCTTGATAACACAGCTCCACAAACCGAATCTGGAGTCCAAATACCTAACCCCATCACGTCAGGTTTTTTCTAACCTCAAAAATGTGCTTAAATCATAAAATTCAATAAAAACCCAAACAAATTCCCATAAACAAATAAAAGTTGAATAAATAAATGAAAATAAGAATTAAAATACAGTTAAGTGATATCAAATTTAGTATATTTATATCAAATGGGACAGTGAGAATCCATTCATGTGCGTTTTTATATTTATGCACTATTTTTTTCCAACACTGATAGAACTATAGAAGCGAAGCTTCTGACTCTTCATCAATGGGATTGTGGGGATATATGATTATGGGGATTTGTTTGGGTTTGTATTGAATTGTATGACTTATGCACAATTTTGAGGTTAGAAAAAAACCTGACGTGATGGGCTTATTTGGACTCCGGATTCGGTTTCAGCATGCTGGATTACATTTAGTACGGGTGGTCAGGTCCCCGCACCAACTAAATTTCGATTTTTTTTTTATGGAGCTGTGTAATGTTTTGAAGAACTCAATTATTTTTTCAAAGCTTAGATCGGAGTATTCTTAGGAACATTATGTTTGAATAAGAATGAGTTGTTTTCGACCAAAAATACGCAAGTGTAGAGGCCCCTTAACATTTTTTAAAAAACCAAAAAAAGTAGGAGATTATACTTTGAATCTAAATTTTAGTTTATTGTAAATTCCCAGGTTGATGTGTGTTAACCCTATTCGTATTCACCCTAAAACTAAAAATACATTATTGTCTTTACAATGATTTTTTTACCGTGTACAAATTTGCATCGAAGAGTTATATGAATGCTTTCATCTCTTATTTCTACAGCCCTTGCCCCTTTGACTTCATCGACCTCACTATGCTGGTTTTTTTCTGTTGCATTTATTATTATTTTTTTTTTTTGAGTATAACCTTTAATACAAGAGTATTAGGGTATTTTTATTATAATTCGAAAATGGATTTGGGTTGAATATTTAATTATTTTAATCTATATGGGCATACTGCCTATACCTACGGGTTGTTAATAAAATTGAATGCGTTATGCGTTGTAAAATAAATTCCGTAGAATAGACTGTTATTGTTGAATGTTGTGGCAATAGTGTACACTATACATAGTAAGTTATTTTGTATTGTCAATTTGACAATATAACCATTGTTATGTATAATATAAGTAGGTATTTTCTTAATTTTTTTTCTAAAGAACTTCCCCTCGTAACAATACCATTATAGATTAATAATAATGGGCTATTTAAGGGTTATTATGTTTGGACAGTTCATCTAATATTCATACGTGCTATGTACGATAAGAGATGGAATAAACTAGTATTTTTTTCGAGTCGATAGTTTTTAAGTATAATTAACCCTACTCAGCGTGCACACAGTTGATGTTTTTTTCATTCGAAACCGACGAAAACTGCGTGTAGTACTGTTACTTTTTACGTTTGAACAGCATGTCGGAACAGAAGATTCGCCAGAATTCGCCGTTCCTGAAGACGTTGAAGCCGTTCGTTGTGTTGTTTAAAGTATCTGGCTTAAGGCGATTTTCCTACTGTGTCGATGGTTCACCAAACTCGACGATTTACAACGAATCCTCGTGGTACGTCGTTGGCGATATCGTTCAAATTGGATTTTACTTGGTCTTGTCGGTCGTCATGCTTAACCAATCGCCGAATCTCCTTGTATTCTATTACGACGTCTCTCGGTATTGGATGATATTTGTCGCCGCCAGACTTTCGGAACCATGGTCGATCAAGTAAGTGTATATTATCAAATTCAATTTGGAAAAATAAGGAAATAGTTCATTCATTTATCAAGCGTGTATAAAATATGCAAATTATACGCACTAATAACAAAATATGCCTTTACCCTTCAAGCTTCAAACATGCGAAACAAAATTTGATCTATGAAATAGGTTTGACTTAAAACGCCCACATTTTAAACCCTCGTGACCGTGTATGCACTCAATATGGTCATGTACATGCCAACAATCCCCGGTGTCTATAATATTGTTATAACAATAATATTGTGCGTTCGCAGATTGATCAACGAGATGATCGACTACGATGTAAAATATAAAACCCTGCCGCTGTTCATTCCTCTGCGGACTCCGAGTATTCAATTTTGGCTATCGTTGTGTGCCCTCTACTTTGTGCATTTCGTTATCTTGCACGTAGTCCTGACGGTCAAGGTCATGTCCAAGTTCGGAATCGATCACACGATAACCGCCTTGGTGTTCGACTTGCCGCGGTTCACGGATTTTGTGATTGTGGCCAACGTTTACTTCTTTTTGGCCAACTTGGCCTGCAGATTTCGGACGTTGACCAAATATTGGAAGCGATTACCCGCCGCCTTATTGACCAAGCCTGGCACTTGGAAAAGAGACGAGGTCGTCATGTTGGTCGAGAGTTGCAGACTGTTGCACGCCAACCTCTCCAACACGCTGAGAATGTTAAGTCTCACATACGGACCGGTTCTGTTGGTTTTATTTTTGTTTTTAATATTTGATATGATCTACGCCATGTTTCTCCTTTTGTATTTAAAAAATCCACATTTTTCGTCAATGCCGGCAATAGCGTTGTTCGTGGAAAACGTATTTTTCATCATTATTTTATTGGCACTCGGCTCGTGGACTACTAGTCAGGTAAATGACCATAATTATTATAGGTATTGCATAAATTACTTAAACGAATTAAATTGTTCGTGGTGTCTTGAATGCCGACAGTAAACAATAACATACCTATTTGATTTTAAAACAATAAAACAAATTGATAGTTCATTTTAAAAAAAATGTTGAATGTATATTTTTGGTTAAAGTTAATTTACCGTTTATCTTTGAAAAAGAGTAAAGATTTTTTTTTTTTTTTGAAAGAATAGTCATTTCTTTATTCTGTTAGAAGAGACAGAGAGTAGGGCAATGTAAAAAGATGGGAAAAGTCACAAATCACAGGTCCATCGTGTAAAGTGCAATTATGAGATAGATGAGAAAAGAAAAGGTAGGAAGGAGATCATGACAACTTGTAAACAAATGTAAAAGAAAACTTAAAAACGTTCTCCTGACTATAATATAAAATTGAGACCCATAGAATCAAAAGATTAACCCACAAAGTTAACAACAGCATTACACAGTTTGAAGTTCCAACTATTTTTAAATTAAAAAATAAATGCAATTACTTTTGAAGAATATTTCTTAACCAATTTGTTTCCAGTCAAAATAGTAAAGCCCATTTGTAGAATTGAAACTATATTTTTTTTTTTAAATACCTACATTTTTACAAATTGATAAGTTTGAATACTATTGGTTTATTTAAAAACTTATATACTATTTCGACATGCCAGTTCAAAACTGTAACAGCTTAGAATTGTAACTTTAAATTATACCCAATATAATTTTGGACGGTTTATTGTGGTTTATTGCCAGTTAATTTATGTAAATTGTAACAACTTAAAATCACATAAATAGTGAATAGTTTTTTACTAACCCCTAAATTGAATACCAACTCTTTTTATTTGTCGCAGGTTTGATCTAAAGCGTACGTTTATTATTATACATTAATCTACATCGACTGTCTTTTTTTCTAATACACAAAACTGTCATTTGTTTTATTATAACTTTTAATATTTTTTAGAAAAAACAAATGGTTTTATACTTGCGATCTTGTCAAATAACGGATTTACCTGAAGACATAACTGCACAAGTAATTTCTCTAATATTTAAGCGAATTAATATTTACAACAGCTGTAATAGGATTTTCATTCAATTAATAATAATAATACAGCCTTATACTGTCATAAAGTATAAACAGTGTTTTCCCAGCCTATGACCAATATTACAGGTATAGATTAAGAAAAATTTAAAAACTCTTATTTTAAAGGGGCCCAACTTACAATATTTTATAAACGTCAACAACTTTAAATTTCAGCTAATTTTAGTCCCATGACCAAAATAATAAATACCACCTGTGTATTTTATTTTTTGGCTTCTGAAGACTGATATCCAAATTATGATGTCACCAGTCACATTCGAAAGTATTAACTTATCACAATTAATTGCAAATGATAAATACTAGCCCGCAAAATTTTGTAGGCTAAACATATTATAAAAAAGTTAAATTAATTATGTTTTAATAATTATTTTGTAATTATAGTTAAAATGTTTTATGAATCAAATATCCAATTACGATATGTACGAGATGTCAGCGTATGGTGTTTTCAATTATGATTTGACAATGTTTTTATCTGTAAGTAAGACTTTTTAAACTTTCTATTTCTTCCTAAAGGTTATGAATAATTCTTAATTAATTATTTTTTTGTTGAAAGTTGTTAGCGGCATTGTTCACGTTTATTGTAACTTTGATCAAACTGGAAGGAA